TTTTTTTTTTTTGGAAACTGTGATACATTTCCTTTGGGATTTTTTATTTATGTATTTATTTATTTTAATTAATACAAATTTCAAAAGAATGCCATTTATTTGAAATGAAGATATTTTGTTACATTGTTAATGGTTTGCTGTTACTTTTGGTGAAATGTATGCTTCCTTGCTGAATAAAAGTATTAATTTCTTCCAAAAAAGGGATATTTTTGTTGTAATGATTTGTATATATTGAGCATGATGGGGCCAACAGAACTGTAAATGTCCTCAGAAAGTGTTTGATGTCACTACCACAAATTTTGTCAAAAAGATCAAACCATTATTTTTAAAGGAAGAAATGTCAGAGCACAGCAGCGTTGAATAGCAAGTGCAGGGACAAACAAAAATTCTACATTTTATCTGCAGCTTTACCCTTGATGCCTCTGTTGACTCGGGATAGTCTGCGGATGATGCAGTCTTTTCTGTCTCCCTGTCGGATGTCAATCTTGGTGGAGAACAGACCGTTGGCTGGCTGAGGGTTCACCAGTGAGACTAACACTCCAGGCTACGGGAGAAACAGAGGTCACAGCTGAAGATGACACATTTATGGATGCTACATCATACAGATCATGTGACATGTGTAAGTAGAAGTAGAAAGTAGAAAAAAAAGAGATAATTTTATTCAGCAAGGGAGCATTAAATTGGTCAAAAGTGACAAACAAGACATTTATAAAGTTAAAAAGATTACTATTTCAAATAAATTGTGTTCTTTTTTAACTTTTATTAATCATGGATTAAAAAAAAAAATATTAAGCATTACGAACGTTTTCAGTTTAAACACAACTTGCTATAAAAAAAATATTCTAATCTATTAAAGCGACTTTTTCTGGTCTGGATATCACGATTTTAAAATTATTTAATATTTCTAGGTTTTATCCTTGAATATGGGAACACTGCATATCAAATCCTGTATAAAATATGTATTATCATATTTCAAATATGTTTGCAAAAGCCTGGCAATAATTCAGAAAACATGTTTATGTCTGAATGAACGCTGTACACTACACCATAGTGAGATGCATCGAAGACGCATTAGAAATGCACGGCGTGCTTCTAAAATTAGGCTGTCTCTAGCTGCATGCAGCACAGGCCAGATCAACCATTAACAAAACAGAAACAATAGACAGGGCCTCAGTGGACTCTCATCATCACCTCAGATCTGAAGACACAGAGCGGTTTCCCAGGGCAACAGTCCTCCTTTACTTTGTCATCCGCTTCAGAGGCGAAAACAACGTCTATCTGATCCAACTGATGGAGGAGACAGTGAGGGAAGGAGGGTCAGAGAAAGAATGACACCAGTTATCATTTAGCTACTGACTGAAACGACTAGCAATGAGATCAGGCCGAAAGTCAACTAATAATAGTGCTTTCAGCACTGCAGCTTGGTTATTACAAAAGAAAAATGGCTAAAATTCTTGGGAAAAAACACCACAACTTTGCAATGCATTTTAGAGTAAAACACAATATTCAAATGGAAATAATGAAAGGACCAGGGACGTTAAGTCATACATAAAGTCAGTTTCGATTACATGCTGTCTTTAAGTGTTACGAAAGTGAGGGTCTTTCTTGTTTTCTGTCCTTTGGTTTTGTAGAACAGGGCCAGTATTCACAAAACATCTTAAAGCTAAAAGTAGCTCATAACTCACCGATTTAGGAGAAAATCTTAAAAATGGGACTCCTAAATTTTTGTTCTAAGAGTGTTTCACAAAGCGTTTTAGCGCTAAAACTAGCTCCTAAATCTGTGAAACGTTAGGAGTAGTGAAGAGGACTCCTAAGTCACTAAGACCAAATCTGAACTATCCTAAAATGGCTGTTGCCAGCAATCTACCTCGGAATATAAACACTTTAGAAACATTTGACGATAACGAGCTTTTAAAAAGGTATCGGCTTTGGTTTGGAGTTTATCCCAACTCCAAATATTTGATTATATCTTTAATATATAGCTGTTCTCGCGTCCAGTTTGGTTTTCTTTTATGTTTGCATGTCTTACTATCAGCCA